TTCTTTAACAGTCCTCATCAATCAGCTTCACTGTCCATGCGCAGATGGCGATCTCATCTCCAGTCACCGGTTCCTGGCCTACTTGGGGCTTTCAGGAACGGAACGGTAATTCCCTTCCTAAACAGCACCCTCAGTTCCAAATCAAAGCTCTTAACTTTCTGACAGTAACATCCCTCTTACACAAATATTCAGTACAGCTTTAAGCAAATGGAAAAAAATTTACTGGCTACAAAACCAGTCATGCAAATTAAGAGCCTATGCAGTAGTTATCTCAATATTTGGCAGGATGTGTAGACTGCATCCCAGCTGGCTGGCAAGTAAAGTGTGCCAAGTAGAAATGTCAGTCTTTGCACACTTTATTCTAGACTCCAGACTAAAAACCTAGAGCAGAGAGCACAGATGGAAAGTGGAAGGAGCCTCGAAGCAAAGCTTTCTTTCACCCTCAGTGCACACAGCCCTGATTCCAGTGAAGAATGTTCTGAGACCTCTTAAAAGAGCAAGCCTGCGGGTCCTGCTAACAGTCATCTTCAAGTCATCTTTAGTGACCTGTTTGAGAACTCACTGGCTTTGAGAGGAACTGCAACTAAAGTATTCACAAATGAATAGGAAATGCTAAATCTGCTTGGAAGCCACGCCGAGCGGAAAGAAGGAGCTGGGAAGAGCAGCAGGGAAACGGGTGAGACAAGCTCTCCATGTGCTGAGGACCATTAACGCTGGCAAAGGTTTTCAGCTGAGTTTTGTTTTTTAAAATCAAGAGTTAGGACATTTTACCAACTCGATTATTCTTTGTGGTTCTAATTCCATTTGTAATCTTGCCTCTTGTTTCCTTACCCGTCAAGCATCTATTTGAAAAATGGCAACCATTGTATGTTTTATCATGACCTCCTTCTGAGCTTCCTCTTCAAATACGCAACAATTTTCTTTTAAATCCTCATCCAAGAATATTTTTCTTTTTATCTTCAGATAGAGTAGGAGGGAGCGAGGGAGAGAGAAACACGGATGTGAGAGGGACACATCAACTGGCTGCCTCCCACACGACCCGACCAGGGCTGGGGACAAACCGCAACTGAGGTACGTGCCCTTGGCTGGAATTGAACCCGCAACTCATTGGTTCACGGGCTGATTCTCTACTGCTGAGCTAAACCGACCAGGGCTAAACAACAATTTTTAAAACTACTATCCAATATAAAATATTTGAAACAAAGAATTTTAATAGTATCTAGAAATTAACCACAAACTCCCCTACAGAGAAAGATCACTCTAAGACTTAGGAAATTATATAGTAATTTTAACCTTGGATAAGCCCTGCACACGGATGTGATGTACAACTGTCCCCCAACCCTTATATGCAGTTTCATTTTCCATTTGAAATTATTAAATGAAAAAGTACATAAACAAACAATTCATAATTTTTATATTATGCGCCATTCTGAGTAACATGAGAAATCTCTTGCCATCCCATTCCAACCTGCCAGGACATGAATCATCCCTTTGCCCAGCATATCCACACTGTATATGCCACCCACCCATTACTGACTTAATAGTCTTTTCAGTTATCAGATGACTGTCACAGTATCACAATGCTTGTTTCAAGTAAACCTTACTTTACTAAATAATGACCCCAAAAATTACATTAATGCAACTTTTATTACAGTATAACTGTTCTATTTTATTATGTTATTGTTAATCTCTTACTGTGACTAACTTATAAATCAAATTTTACCATAGGTGTGTACATATAGGGAAAAAAATAGTATAAGGGTTCGGTATTATCTATGGTTTAAGGCATCCACTATAGGTCTGAGAATGTTTCCCTTGCAGGTAAGAGGGGGCTACTCTAATTACACAGTGAAAAATGGTCTGCCTGAACAGGAACATTTTACTGGAAGGATACTATGGAATTTAACCTGTACACTCTGAATAAGCTTGATCATAAAATTTCTCAAAGGTTCTTGAATAAAACGCCTAAACATTGACCTGCAAAGGATTTCAGATATTCCTGAAACCTAAGTAAGTATACAAGCACTTTTATCTGGATTCCGAAATTTGATCATTTTCAAAAGGATCTCTAATTCAAAAAACATTAGAAACCACTTGAGATTTGCAGATCCTTCTATCAGAAGCGTAGGTTTGGCCCTGGCTGATGTGGCCCAGCAGTCAGAGCGTTGCCTGCAGACAGAAGGGTCATCCCTGGTCCTGGTAGGGGACATGTGCAGGAGGCAATCAATCGATGTCTCTGTCTCTGTCTCTGTCTCTCTGTCCCCCCCCCCCCAGCCGTCTCTGTCTCTCTCCCTCCCCCTCTATCTGAAGATAAATGGAAAAATATCCTGAGGTAAGGATTAAAAAAAAAGCCCTCCCTCCAAGTCCCTCTCTCATCCGATGGGCCTCCCAGGACTGCTGTGCTCTGGGAGACCGAAGGAGAAAGAGAGAGAGAGGTTCACGGTGCTACACCCTTCCACTCGGTGCCTCATGAAGGAGGGAAGAAGATGAACAAGATGTTCTCGAACATTCATCTTATCTGTACTCTAGTACACACTTTCTCCTCGCAGACCCTTATGATGGAGTGTGGATGGCCAGTCAGGCCACAGCATCAGCACCAGGCTACAATTTAGCTTATCAGCCTGGGAAACTAATCTCACTTCCACAGAAAACTGTTCCAGTTCCCACCAAACAACTTCAAAGGCAGTCTGGACATATACAGAAGATGGGACACCAGCAAAGCTACACGTGCAGGTGCTGCCTTTGACTCTTCAACTTCCAATTCCTGTTCTCCCTCTACATCGGGGGTGGGGACCGTCCGGCGGAGAGATCGATGCCAGCTGACGTCACACCCCTCACTGAAGAGCAGCAGTTCCAGCTGTCACCTTAGGGGTGAGGCTCATGAAATGTTGGACCAAATAGAGCAGGCTAATTTGTAAGTTGGTAATTCTGTATGGCCCATGAATGATGTCATTGATATCCAAATGGCCCTGGGCACAGAAAAGGCCCTGCTCTCCATAAACATCGGGGACTTGACAGCCTCGGCCTGCAATGTCGCCCTGTTCTCCATCACAGCACGGGGAGAGGCTGTGTCTGCTTCGGGGACCAGTCACCACTCCCCGGCCTCTCGCTCCTTCCTCCAGTCCGTCTGCCCCACTGTGGATCCGCCATCAGAGGACAGCAAGCCAGGACAGCAAGATCACGGACAACTCAGTGGAAGAGCCTTCCCAGAGCCTTAGCACAGTGGAGGGCACACAGCAGCTGCTCAGCACACTGAAATCAGTAAGTTCATCTCCTTCCGAGTCTGCCACTAGCTGACCCTGGACCTCTTTGAGCCTGATCTATAAAATGAGAGGAGCTGAGTTAAAAGTTCATTTTGGCTCCATTATAATACATTTTTAGGAACTGATCTGGGAAACCGTTTTGTTTTTTTTTTAATCTTCACCCGAGGACATTTTTCCATTTTTTGTTCAGACAGTGGGAGGGAGAGAGAGAGAGAGGAGAGAGAGAGAAACATCAACGTGAAAGGGACACATCGAGTGGCTGCCACCCGCACGACCAACCAGGGCCGGGGACAAACTGCAACCGAGGTACGTGCCCTTAGCGGAAACCAAACCCGGGTCTCTCTGGACCGCAGGCCGACGCTCTAACCGCTGAGCCAAACTGGCCAGGGCTGGGAAACCGTTTTTATGCTCTTTTTTATGAAAAGTGAACCTTACCATAAATTATAAACAGTGCTTCAGGAACAATGTGGGCAAAGCAGAAGGACAGCCAAATCAGAACTACACGGGAGGGTCAAGGGAATGACAGTAACAGCTGGCTCATCCTCATCCAACAGTGAGGGAAAGAGTAAAAAAGGGTCAGCATCTTACTAAAACTATGCAAGGCAAAGACTTTTATCATACTGTTTGAAGCCCCCCGATATTAAAAGCATCTAAAAGAACAAATTCCTCTCAAGAACTGAATACGAAGTTTTGTCGTTAACATCTTTCCACAATATGAGATCTATATAACCTTTCATACTACTAAACTTTGCCAGAAAGTCAAGAACTAAGGCTTGTTTTCAACTACAGTGCCATCCTTGTCTTACTGCTGATAAGGCACAGGCTGTCTCCCCTGCCACCTCCAATATTAGCTCTTCAGCCTGTTTTCTTTTTTAATCTTCACCCAAGGACATGCTTAGAGGGAGGGAGGGAGTGAGGGAGGGAGGGAAGAGTGGGGAAGGGGGGGGCAGAGAGACAGAGACTTTGATCAGTTGCCTTCTATATGTGCCCTGACTGGGGATCAAACCTGACCAGGAACTGAACGGGGCACCAGTGCACAGGACTACACTCAACCAACTGAGCCACTCTGGCTGGACAGCTTTCAGTCTCTTAGTTAACTGCACTTTTGTCATTATAAGTCTCAAATCCTTTACAGGAGTAGTAATAAAACATATTGTTTCAGGAATAAAAACTAGCTGCCAGATTTACAAATTAACACGGTAAAAATACATCTGATCTGGGGGATTAAAATCTATTAATACAAGTTGCAGCCTGCGCCAGTCTGCAAACTAATCTCAATTCACAACAAACTCAGTTCTTCAATGTCTGCATTGTTTCCTTCATCTTTCTGAAGCAGCTTTGGGGGAAGCCTGACACTCCTAACCTAATCCTCCTCATAAATGCTCATCTCATTTCCATTATCAATAACCATCCAAATCCTCCCCAGTAAATAAAAATGAGGTACTGTTATCCCAATACAACAAAAAGAGAGGTTTCTTATTGGAATTGGAGTTGTGAAAGACTGTTTCCAACATGAGCAATAGTCTGGAAACATTATCCAAGTTGTTCAAGTTAAATTTCAACCCCCAGTTGGTTTCTTTAATTCTTAAATCTCCTCTACAAAATTATTTGTAGTCCCCATTAATCATAAATGCAGAAAGAAAACCCCAAAAGTATAATATTTTAGAATTTAAATCCTTTAGCTAAATAGCTTATACAAGGCTCTTTTAGCTCACGATAAAGAAAATCAAAACTTACCTAAAGTCATTAATTTAGCACAACTACTTCGGCTTACATCGTCTTCTAGGAGTCGGTCTGTGCCCTTCCCTTTCTCCAGCAAGGCCCCCTCTAGAGGTAAGCATCTCCCCGACACAAGGCTGCCTTCACCCGCCGCAGGCCTGACCTCGCTGTTGGTTTCGAGTGCAGAAGGGACGTCTTCCAGCTGAGCAGCTTCACCAGTTTCTGAGTAAGAGGAAACCTTACCCTGGGCTAAATTCTTTGAAAAAACTGGTAGAGATTCTTCATCGCTATCAAATCCAAAAGGATCGCCAGTATTTTCTTCTTCCATTTTAGGTTTCTTCGGAGTTTCTTGGATATCTGGTTTGAAATTGGGCCTCTTCTGCCCTAATTTAGCCATAAATGTGGTCTCTCCCCATTTTGTGCTCAGGGTGGTCCGTTTGTTGGAAAAGACTTCATCAAATTTTGAACTGCCATTTCCACCTTTCCTACTGTATGTTTTCCCAAATCTGGATGTCATTTTGACACCTGTTTCATATTCTCTGCAGGGGGAAAAAAAGGAAAATATATAATCAGCAAATATTTAAGTGTTAACATGGAACATAAAAAGAAGAACCCAAGGAGTCTCCCTATGTGGCTTTTCAACATTCAAGATTACAAATCTACAAAAATTACTAAATAAATACGGGGAGGGGGGTGTAAAGACAGAGGCTCATTTTTCAAAGACTCCTGTATGTTGGTTTTCTTTTACAACCACGTTCATATGTTGCTTACAAAGTAAGACTAACCAACTTATAATACAGCATATACAAAACCAACTTCTAGTGAAACATCCATTTCTTTTTGTTTCAAATGAATCTATTTACTATTCTTAAGAACATCACTTTTACCTTACAAAAGTAATCTTAAGGGTAATTGTTCCTAATATAAAATCTTAAGCACAAAATATTCATATTTTTTTCAGGATCTCAGAAATATCAAATAACTGACTAAATTTAGTTCTTTGAAATTTCAGAACACTTATTAATATGAGGAAGGAAATTGGGAAAATTGTGCGATTTTCTCACATATTAAAACATGCAGCTTTTAACCCAACCTTACATTCTAATTCTTGGTCTAATGTAATTTAAAGTACGACCTGAAACATGTCCTTTAGCCCTGGTCAGTGTGGCTGTGTTTAGAGCGCCAGCCCATGCACTAAAGGGTCGTAGGTCCCATTTCTGGTCAAGGGCACATACCTGGGTTGCAGGTTCAACCTCTGCCCTACTTGGGGCGCATTTGGGAGGGGAGGCGATCAATCGATGTCTCCCTCTTGCATCAATGTTTCTCTCTGCCTCTCCCGCCCCACTCTCCCTAAAAATCAATGGGAAAAATATCCTCGGGTGAGTATGAACAAACACACTCTATATATTCTTTAGTTGGTCATCTCCCTAAGCACAAACAACCATGCTTATTCTCTTTCTTGTCCCTATAGGGCTATGCTCATTGCTGAGTTACATTTTCTGGAGCTGGTGAACTCCAGTATGTTAGTGGTCCATGGATTATTATTATTATTTTTTAATCCTCGAGGACATTTTTTCATTTTCTATTCAGATAGAGCAGGAGGGAAGGAGAGGAAGAGAGAGAGAGAGAGAAACATCGACGTGAAAGGGACACATCGAGTGGTTGCCATCTGCACAACCCAACCAGGGCCGGAGACAAACCGAGGTACGCACCCTTAGCGGGAACCGAACCCGGGTCTCTCTGGACAGCAGGCCGACGCTCTAACCGCTGAGCCAAACCGGCCAGGGCAGGGTCCATGGATTATTAAACGAAGCAACAGAAACACAACTTTATTTTCTTCTTTGCTTCATAAAAAATAAATTGATTCACCTATCTACATTTTAATAAGAAATCTAGGACAAAAATTTTCAGGACAGTGAATCAAGAGTCAGACACTTTTAAAAACAAGTTGCAGTGCTTTTTAAACACTACCAACTTTTATCCATTCCTTACGCTTTGACCTTCTAAAGTTTAAATATCAATATATAAATATAACTAGAAAAAAATGAACAATTGCCTAGGGGCTTGAAAAAAGATCTTCACCCTTACAAATGGAATGATATCTGACTTACATTTTTTAAATATATCTTCAAATATTTTCCCTGTATTAACTTAATCACTATAGACTTAGTTTTACTGATATTCAGTAGAGAATTCCCCCCCCTCGTATGTTTGGTTAGAAGCCAATTCTAGTTTAACAAAATCATAATTTAGTCATCACACACATCTGCATTATCTTAAGACACATTAAGAGTCCATAAACAGTTTGTTTAAAAACCTTTTAACATATCACAAAACTTTCTGCTAGGGGAGATCTATTTTCCCTTCTACTATAGATTTACCCTAAAGAATCTTATTGTCTTTCTTAAGTACATTTGGCAGCTACAAGAATTACAAAATAAAGTGATTTCTTTTCATTTCTCGAAGAATGTAAAGCCCTGATCTACAGACCTACATTTACACACACAGCTCAACAAAGCTGGAATGTTTTGGATACACTTACACGGTAATGACCTAGAAATGTTGACTTAAGGCCAAACCAAAAATCTCGACTTGAACTCTTTTAGGCCCACACCAGAGAAACTCATTGTGACAATGGTCCTACAATCAGTTGCAAGTTGGAAGTCCGCAGGTAAACATTTGCTATTAAGGGGTTAATTATTTTAAAGGCAAGAAAGATCATGCTTCCATTTTCATAAAGATTTTGTCTTTTGCCCTGGCCGGTTTGGCTCAGTGGTTAGAGCGTCGGCCCACGGACCAGTTCGGTTCCACTAAGGGCAGGTACCTCGGCTGCCGTCTGTCCCTGGCCCTGGTTGGGGTCCAGTGGGTGGCAACCACTCAATGCGTGGCTCTCTCACATCGATGTTTCTCTCTCTTCCTCCCTCTCTCCCTCCCGCTCTATCTCAAGATAAATGCAAAAATGTCCTCGAGAGAGGAATAAAATAAAAAAAAAATTACAAAGGTATACCGAAGTATTGATACAAAGATGTATCTTTTACAAAGACACACGAAGTACGGAGGACATCGTGTCAAGGATATTCTCACTTTGAGGGGTGTGGGACGCCAGGCTCGAGGAGGAGAACATTTCAGCGGCGCTGACAACCTCGCGTCTGAGGAAGGTGCACCTGGGACTCGTTATGTAACACACCCTACTTCTGACTCCCTTCGCCGCTTCCCACCACGTCCTTTTTTCCAAGCCGCGAGGCAGGTCACTTGTGATGACACCACCGAAGCCGAAGCCTACGTTCAGAAACCGGGGTGCGGGCATCCCGGACACAGTATCTGGGGTATGTTTCAAGTGCACAGCTCTCTTGCTCGGCTTCCACGTCCAGAGGAAAGGAGGACTCAAAACTCGGCGTCTCCGGTGGCCGGGCCTTTCCCCTCCTGGCCGAGGCCAGGTCCGGTTTTCGGGGAAGCGCGCGGAGACGGAAAGTCCTCCCCCTGCCCCGTCCGAGCCCCGTCTCTCGGCTCCCCAAGGGCTTCGGGCAGCCCTGCAGGCACGGGAGCCGGACAGGGCCCCGCGAACCGCCCAGAAAGCCTCACCTGCCGGCGGCCGGCGCGCCAGGGCGGCGGGCGAGGCGCCCCGCTCGGGCCGGGAGCTCCCGCAACTTTTCGGCTCCCCGCCCCCACCGCCCAGGAAAGGGACGTCGCTTCCGTCGCCCCGGAAGCCTCTGCCACCGAGTCCCCGGGCGGCGCAGGGCCTCGGCGGCGGCCGGGGCGGCGGGGGCAGCGGCCGCGGGCTCGGGGCCGGAGCCGGCGCCCTCGGCCGCGCCTGGGGCGGGGGCACCCGCCGCCGCCCGGGAAGAACTCGGAGAGGGACGGACGGGAGAGGAGAGCCCCCCGCTCCGCCTGCCCAACTTCCTCCGGGGCCGGCGGGCGAGACCGCGCCGCCCGGCCCGGCGGAGCCAGCCGCCCCTGCTCGGGCTCGCCCCGGCCCCGGCCCCGGCCCCGGCCCCGGCCCCGGCCCCGGCCCCGGCGGCGCCCGGACCTCACTCACCCTCGGCGCCTGGCGGTGCTCTGGCCTCGCGCCGCCTCCGCCTCTCCCGCCCCCAACGGCCCTCGGGCGGGCGCCGCAGTCCCGCGCGGAAGGGCAGGCCCGCGGGTGCGCGGAGGGTGGCCCGGGGCTCCGCCGCCGTCAGCACCCGCGACTCCGCTCGCGGTAAATAGGAAACCGGGAGGGGGGAGGAGCGGCGGCACCGCAACTTCCCCCGGGCCTCGGGCGCCGCCAGCCGGGCCTGGGCCTGCGCCGCGCCGGCTCCGGAGCCCGCTACGTGCCCCCGCTGGGCCGCCGCCGCCTCCCGCGCCGCCGCTTCCGCCGGGGAATGGTCAGCGCTGGAGTTTGAACAGGGCCCTGAACCATCTCAACGCCATTTGCGCTCCCGGCCCCCACCTCCTTCCTCCAACAGCCGCTCGCTCCGTCACTCCGCTTCCCACAGGCCCCGCGCGGCCGCCGACCCCGCAGCCAATCGCGCGGCCGCTTACTCAACCGCCGCGCAGGCGCCGCGCCCCGCATGCTCCGGTGCCCGCCATTGGCCCGCGCGCGGCGCCCGACGGGAGTTGTAGTCCCGGGCCGCGAGGTCGCGGGGGTTAGAGCCCCGCGCGGGCGCGGGCGGCGGGCAGAGCGGCTCCCGCGGGCACGGCCCGCCCGGCTCGGGAGCCGGTTCCGGCTGCCGGCCCCGCGGGGACGCACACGTGTCGCGCGGCCGGGCCAGGGGCGCAGTGCAGGCAGCTGTGTCAATCGTTTCCCCTCCAGGGACCCGCCGGCGTCTGGGGACGCGGGTGTGCAGCTGCGCCGGGCCTGCTGGGGCCGCGGCCCGGGGACGGGCGCTGCGGAGCTCGCGTCTAGCTGGCCCGGCGCGGTCACCGCGCGGGGACGGGCCCGGCCGCGGGCCCCCAGGGCGCGGCTTCCCTGCGCCCCCTGCACCCGCGCGGCCCTCCCTTACCTCCCAGCTCTCCTGCGTGCGCCCCGCGCGCCCTGCGCCCTGGGAGTGTCGGATAAGGGTTCTCCCGAGCCTGCCGGGTGTGATAACGGCGATGTGGTTTGGTTTTGCTTTTTAAAAAGGCGTCCTGAAGTTCTGACCACGACAGCACCCAGGGCAGGTGCCGAGGCCGTGCCGTGCCCCCGGCACGGCCGGGGCGGAGGAGCGCACGCCCGCGGGACGCTTTCCACTGGAGGCTGCGGACGGGCGCACCCCAGCTCGGCGTCCAGTCTCGACTTCTCCGTCTGTAACTTTCCATCACGAAAAGTTCACGGAAATGAACCCGTGACTGCCTGGGAGGGAATGAAAGGGGAAAGTCTTTATTTTCCGTGCGCAACCTTTCGTGCCGCTCAAGGTTTTCTTTCTTCCCCGTGACAAGGTATTACCTATACGTGCTTTGAGGAAAGCAGGCAGTTTGGGGGATTGTTTTTCAAGGCTGTAGTGGGAAAACCGCGCTCTGAAGAGGAGCTCAGTGGGTTCCTCCTCGTGCGTGATTCATGGGGCTCCGGCGGCCCCGTGTTTGGGGGGCGGTTAATGGAGATCCACCTGGGAAATTAGAAAAGCGCTCGTTGCTTTCCGTGAAAAGCCCTCCCTTTATTCCACAAATAGATTAATTTGCTTTGAAGTCACCCGGAAGACGTCAAGCTCCTCCAATGTATTCGGAAAACTCCGAATAGAGAAAAAACAGTCCAGAGCTCCTGCAGCCCTTCCCACGAGGAATGTGAGGTGGATCTTCGCGTGGTTGAAATGTTGTACTTTCATGCCTCTGCTTGCAAAATTAATATTCTGACATTTACAGTTTCCCAAATGCTACATTGGGACTTTCTTTAACTTAGAAATAAATCAACTCTTAGCCCACTTGAATGTACGTTACAGCAAGTCACTGTATTTCACTGCGATTGGTGGGCACATAACTTATTTGGGTCAGTTTTGTCTTTTTAAAAAGCCAGCATTGGATCTTGTTTTATCAGTTTATTTGAAGATTGCCCCCTGAGGTGCAAGCTGCCCTTACTATAATTATTTAAATGACATGGTGGTGGGTGCTAATTAAGGGGTAATTATCAGAGGCAAAGGCTTAGATCAAAAGCCAAAAGTGGCGGAGGCAGTTTCAAGATCTTCCCGTACAAGAGCGCTGTGAACACCCCCCACACCACCACCACCACCCCTGAATTCACTGTGCCCCGCAGTCACTATGCCCCGGCCTGGCTGCGGCTGAGAACTTAGCCGGGTCAGTGGACAATATGTGGAACCCTTTTGAGGGCTTTTTGTGTGTAAGTAGTGTTGAGTAATGGGCTTGGTAGTGTTAAATTCTTGTTGCTCAGAGCACGATCCCG